ACCGTCGGGGTTGTGAGAGAACCAGCACTCGACATCTTCTTCGGCCTCTGACAGACTCAGGCGTAAGTCTTCCTGGGCTCTTCTTAAAGCACGAAACTTAAGCCAATATAATAGCTATCCATACATCCATCTATCCATATACCCATCTATCCATCCGTCGATCTATCTGTCCATCTATCTACCTATCCATGCAGAAATACACAATGCATGTATATGTACATAAGCTTCTCGACAACGCTGAGCTACATACTCGTGGATGACATTGTGAGCCTTGATAGCGGCTTGGATGAGCACGGGGGACCCGAAGAACATGCCCGCAATCAAGAAGAGAACGACCAATCCCAGCACGACAAGGCCTGAAGGATGTCTCGAATCTCAGCATGACAACACAGCAGCTGGGAATCCCTAAACCCTAAACGTCCCTAAATCCAAAGCCTCCCGGAGTCTTCGGGGTCACGATGAAACGGAGACCCGAGGCCACGGCGAAAAGGCAGCCCATCAGGAAGCACAAGAAGGGCATGCGCGACATGAACCCGATATTCTTGAGGTAGACATGACAGCCCATCTCGGTCTGCACCTCTCCCACACAAAGAAGCATGACGACTGTCATGATGGTCGAAAAGAGGTATCCTGCGAAGCCAATCACGTAGAAAATCAGGACAATGTCATTCAACGTAGGAGACGCCGCATTCACATAGGTCTCACCAATCTGCTGGCCAATGTAACTGTCCAAGAAGATGAAACCACTTCCAGGGAAATCCTCTTCGTCTTCTTTACTTTAAGGAAACACTGTATGTCGGTTTAACATTGCGACACTCACATCTCGTGTTAACCCTGTCAACCCCCTCATCCCTTCGATAATGCCTCCTCGAGCCAATCGTTGACGTTATCATACGCCATGGGGAGGATCATGGTAAGCATCAAGGCGCTGATCAGGCCCATGTTCGTGCACTCATTGATCAAGTTGTCCCTGGCACCCTGAACCACCCCTTTGCTTTCCTCGGCGTCTCATGCATAAGGAGCATCTACGGTTTCAAAGGCCTTGGACACCCAACCAACTCTCTTGAGCCTTAAAGCCCTAAGGTTTCTAAACCCGTTTGATCAATATGGGAGTGTCGTCACTTTTGATCATTTTGTCGGCCAAGACCAGGAAGCCTCCCGTGTTCGCAGACCACATGGAGGCCAAGTAGCCCTCATTGGCCTTCTTATTCCTCGGCCGGTCGAATGAAAAGTAGGGTTCAGGCGGGTTCAGGGTTTATAAGGACATACTTGCTCCTTCTGTGAAGTGTGTAAGCACCTTATGGTTTTAGTACAAGAACAGCACGCTCAACAAACCCTTAAACCCCTAATCCCCCAAACCCCAATAGAACCCTTAGAGGAACCACGAAAGGAACCCCCCACGAAACCCTCAAAATAGACCTTAAATCTCAACCAGACTCCCTGTGCGGAGGACCGATCTCGGTGGCAGGTACTCTGCGACTCGGCGAATCGTGCCTGGCTTCTTGCAGCTGGAAAAAGTGCGGCTTCTTCCTTTTAGGGTTCGGGGTTTGGGGGTGTAAGGGTCTAGGGGTTTAGGGGTTCAGGGGCTTGGGGTTTAGGGATTTAGGGTTTGGGGTTTAGGAACCAGTTAATTTGGTTTAATGAAGCATCGTGTCCAGAAGATGCAAAAGGATACGTCCAGGACAAAACCAAGACACACTTCTTTGCGTCTTCGGCCTCTTCCCCGGCAACCTTCTTCGAAAGGCACCAACAGTATTCCTAAGGGTTCCGGGTTCCTTGTTGAACTATATATAGTACAGTACACCTCTAAACCGTGTTTGAACTATCCAGTCTGGGCAACCTTCTTCATCTGGCTTGTCTCCATTTGAGCGACTTGCTTGAGACACACGGCTCCAGCCCTCCCCGGCGAGCATTTTCCTGTCAAAGCAATTCCTAAATGCTAATCCCAAAACTCTCTCTTGCCGTAAAGTCCGAAAGCCCAAGAAAAAAGATCGGCCTTGTCTTTTCCGAAGTAAGCAGTCCAGCATGCCAGAAATGAACAAAAAATACACTATCTCTCCGTATGTATATACATGTACATATACACTGCGTTTTTATGCATATATATATGTACACATACATATATATATATATATGTATTTATTTGTTTACTTGTTTATACTATTTATTTACTTATTTAGACTATTCTTTATTAGCATATCTCGTCACGGACGACGTAATCTCGAGTCATGCAAGCTTTTAATTCCGAACCTACAACCTTCATGGATCCTTTACACAAGCCTTTGCCTACCTTTGGTTAGTGGGGAATGGAAGAATGGTAGTGATGGTACTTATAATAGTTCCCATTCCTCCATTCCCTACTAACCAAAGGTAAGTTTGTAGACCTCGCTGCCTGCATTCCCTACAAACCAAAAGCTCCACGCCCTTGATCCCCAAAACCTCGAAGCTACTGAACCTGTCGATGAAGCAGGAGCCGCACATCTAGGATCACATAAAGCATGGCTCTACACTGATGTATAACTGATGTGTACAGTGGCGAGATGCCACCGTATGTGCATGCGTGCAAAAGTAAAGGTTCTTTCCATGAATGCTGCTGTACTCGGCTGTTTGGCCCGTGGTAAAACTAGATCTGGTAGGTTCAGGCCTGTCTATGATAACCCGGCAATGACCCTATGCCAACCTGTGATATCCCGTATAGTAGCCCTGTAGCGAGCCTATGGGCCCTGTGACAAACCTATAACAACCGTATTCTTCCCAGAATCTTCAATAGCTCACGGGCTCTTGCTCGCCAACTGGATGCAGGCCGGATCAGCGAGATTGGGATTTGCACTGGTATTTTTTCACAAACCCTAAACCCCTAAACCCTAAACCCTAAACCCCTAAACCCTTGCAGGGGTTTAAGCACATAGGGGGGTTCAGTCCCAAAAGGGCTTCGGTTGGGGGCCGGGTCGTTCGGAGCTTATGGGAGTTTATTGTTTAGGGTTTAGTGTTTCAAGAACTCTAGAAGGGTTTTGACAGGCTTTCTGGGTCTAGCGCGCAGAAAGTCCATGGAGCAGTATGTATACCTTAGCCTTAAGCTACTCTAAGATTCAAGGGGCATTTATTGACTTAATTACGGCCTGCTGGAGCTTGGGTTATACACCATGTCTGCCATATCCTAAACCCGCTGGCGTCCCCTAAACCCTAAACCCCTAGACCCTATACCCCTAAACCCTAAACCCTGAGGCCATCTTTGCGTCCGCTCCAAGCTGCGCCTGTCCTCCAAGGTACCCAGAGACTCCAATATCCCTTAATTCAGGAATTTGCCTTAAATCTTATTAGGGATCCCATTGTACTTTGAGGTATATTCTTTAATTACGGGGTATTGGGTTCTGTGGGTACCGACTCCCTGCTGCGCCCGGTGCTCAGCACCATGACGACTCAAAGCTGCGGATAGCTGGTCTCTCTTGGGTTTAGGGTTTAGGGTTTAGGGTTCAGGGGTTTTTGCATACTTCAACACTGATGTACTGTTTGGAGTTTGGAGGACCCGGCCATCTGTGCATATGACAACATTCAAGTCCGCAGGTGGTCGTTTTGCGCACGAGCTGGCATCTGACTCAGCTTCCTTGGAGATCTAAAAAGCTAACGGTTGACATTTGGGTTCTGTTGGCACCTCCGCTGAAACAGACCACTGCTGCCTTCACGATGTCATACCTATGCGCACATATGCGCATTGCCTGAAACCGTGTGAACCGTCAGGCTCGACACTATGCCAAGGGGCTGCTGGGTTGCGAAACGGACATCCATAGTCCAGTGCTTGCTCTGGGATGCTCTTGTAGTGACTTGTACGCCCCCCTGGCTGGGACTTGGGATACTGCTCATTTAGCATCCTTCAAAAGCGCGGTGCATCTGCTACACCATTTCTGCAACGTGCCCTGGAAAAGCACCGCTAGCAGACCTGCCGCAAGAAACCAGCTTGTGGCCCAGGCTACCCCGCGGCCGTAGGCGGCTTGCGCAGCAAAGATTCCACCGGTAATGCACGAATTCCCGGCAAGAAAAATTAGGACATCCACAAGCAACATCTTGCAGCTACTGAGTGAGGGAGCTAGGTCGCAGAGGGAGGCTATCAAGCTGAAGGACACCATGCGCCAGCATAGGGAGTACCCAAGGACCATACCCAAAAAGTGCGAGACCAGCACTTCGGTAGGCAAGTTCCCCATCCAGAGCGACACGAAGGTGTCCAGGTTCAGGCTTATGTCTGGCAACACCAACAACAGCTGATACTGGATTGGAATGACACCTGTGGTGTATCCTGACATTGCGTCTCTGCCGAGGTCTCCCCTGACATACTCGGTGAAGGCATCCTTGCTGCCAAACCATTCGGTGATGGCATTTAAGACGAAATCCCGATCGTACTGAAGCCTGCACTCGGCCTCCTCCACCCTGAAGCTTCGCAAATCAGAGATGAGCTTCCGCTTCACCCCCAAACTCCTTCGCAAGTAGCGGACAAGAAGGAAGATAGAAATCACCTGTCCCAGGATTGACAGGGCCGGAAAAGCCTCCCGATCTGTGAAGAGCAGAGCTATGCCATAGTTCCCAAAAAAGTAAGCAGCCACTGCACTCTCCACGAACACTGGTGCCAGCATGATTTTGCCAGTCGGGTTCGCCGTGCGGTAAGCTGCGAGCTCGAATATACACCACCTGGGTACAGAAGCACAACTGCTAATTTGGTTAGCGTGTCGCAGGAAAATGTCACACCGATAAAAAGCCTTGCCCCCAAAGCTCAGCACCGCCACAATCTGGAGAAATATGGAGGCGACCAAAGGATGCGCAGTTCTCTCGAAGCTTTGAGAAAGCCACCTGCCGGGCTCCTATCATCACGACGTTTGTATCATGGTACACTAAACCGACACGGGACAACAAAATGCCATGTGTAGAATGACAGGACATTAACACCTCCACCTGCAAAGAAACGATCGTAGATGGTATGGCATGGTCCGTCACAACCCAATACGCCAACATGTGATGACTCGCACCTAAATTATGCTGACCGACCACAACACAAGACAAGTGTGTTCCGTGCATCAGACGACACGCGAGTTGAACTGTTGTGGTACGATACGAGCGTTGTGTCGCATCGTCTTATCTGCAATCGTGCATAGTACATGGCACACTGTGGCCAACCGAATCTGTTTCAATACTAACCTAGGTCTCTCACAGAAAGCCCCAACCTTAAGCCCATCAACCTATAATCTAAAGACACTGTACTGCTCAAGGCCCGCCGCTGCAGGAGCTTAACCTCTAGCTATTTTCAAGGACCGCACCGAGTCCATAGATGCCCTGCATCATGAGAGATTGGTCACTTTGGTTGATGCTGACTGAATCCAGGAAGCAAGTTGGCGAGGCATAGATCCTCTCCGGTAAGTACACCGCGAGGATTATGCCAAGGAGGCATGAAGGCAGGCTAAAGACGGTGAGCCAAGGTCCTCTGGGCAGCAACTTCACTGGGTCATCCTCATAGTCTAGTTTAGGGTTTAGGGTTTAGGGTTTAGGGTGCTACTCTTTCAAGAACCGAGGACACATGTGAACTTTCGTGTGGCGACAAGGCCCCCGACCCCAACCAAACTGCTGCACACAACTCGCCCAACCCTGCCTAAAGGAAGCAGGTTCTGCCCGATGGGCTCAGGTGTTGAATATCGACCCATCATGGGCAGCAGATTCTGGCTGTATAGGACCATCATAACAACCGTGGTCAGGAGCCACACTGCTAAACACCATAGCCACGTGGATTGTAGCAAGAGCGCGCAGCATTTGGCAAGCCCCGAGGTCTGCCACGTATGTGAAAAAAACATGTCAAAGCCAGACACTGGCCCTGCTAACTGCCACAAGGCTGCTCGACTATCTGCCGAAAGATCGAGAGGAGACTTCCACCATACGCGTCTCACATGTCGCAAACACTTTCGCAGCGTTATGCCTCGTATGATATTTGGATTCACGTCCAGCTTCGATGTGGGCGAGCTGACCACCTGGATACTTTCCATGGAAACCTCAGGGTGGCTTAGCGAATTTTCCAACACAAGGCTATATAATACCTTAAGGTGACAACGAACAACTTCAACACCAGTTCAGACATCATCCACTCTTCATTGGGCACATCATCACCGTGTGCGAGTTGCGGCTCCTTTGTGAGGATTGGCTGCTGCTGTCGCTGTTTGGTGCTGTTGTTGCGGTGATTGTTCGTTTTCTCGTTGTTCTTACGTCACTAGCTGTGCCTACTTAGGCAGTATAAACTTTACGGATACTGTATTTGTTCTGGTTGGTACCGCTATTTTGGTTGCACTGTTATTACCACCGACATGGTTGCTTTTCGAAGTAGCAGCAAGCAGCAGCTGCAGCTGAAGCAGGGGCACGTTTAAAATCACCGCTCTCGCCACGGTTATCAATAGAGTGCACTTATTATCAGCTGCGCTTTCAGAATTTTGATGCAACTCGCCCATCAGCGCATCAAGCATCTTCTTCCCCCCAACCGGGCCTCGCGCAGCGGCGGCTTCTCAACATCGTCATCAAACCGCGGTTGCGCCTGTATGGCTTCAATCCCTCCACAAGGTCTGGCTTCCTGATCTGGCAGTGTCGCACCGGAAGCTTCTGGCTTAGGACACCTTTCATGCTTAACTACCAAAACCATTCAAGAAAGAGCGCTGAAAGTTACAGGGGGTCCTCCTCTTTACTGCAGCATCCCGTCGATTGGCCCATTGCTGCTGGAAGGAATTCCGCTTGAGCATTTGCCACTGTTTACTGGGACAACAATTCTAACCTTTCCGATCAGAATCAACACAAGCAAGACTGCTGGCTGGAACCCGCGTTGCTGTGTGCTCTTCGCCGGAAACCGCTGTGCGACGCAAGAGCAGTTCGTGCGCGTTTGGCAATGCGGTGTCATTTGTTGAAGCGTCAACTGTCTTTGACGAACGGTCACATCACTTCGACAACTCTGCAGGCCTCCAGCACTTGGCAAAAAATTTCCATGGACAGCAAAGAAAACTTGAACAGCAAACTTGCCTTCTCCAAGTCTTCGAAGGAAACTGCAAGAAAAGCAAAGCACAGAAAACCTGTTCCAAGGAAAACCATGAGCTTGCAACAGAAACCCGCAAAAGAAACCTACAAGCCAAGGAAGACCGCTCTCTCTCAGGGGAAAGCCTCCA